AAAAAATCGTCACAATTCTTCAGCATATTTGAATCAGAGCTATCTTTAAATTTTGCTCAAAACTACCACTACTACAACATTCTATTCAACATTCTCTGAGTACTTACCCCTTGAAATGCTTGAAACAAAAGATTTACAACTTACAGAATTTTCAATATTCTTATAATTTACTAGCTGAGTGTGCCCGGTCTTGCTCGGGATTCAATATTAGCTTGAGTTTATGCGCCGATTTAAAAAAAAGCATGCTATATTGTACGTAGCCCCCCCCCCCCTATTATCTAAGGGGCTACCCCCTATGATTATCTCCTTATACCCCCACACTCGCCCCCACATGCCTAATTTGGTTCCATTTGCTAGATTAGTTCTCGAGTTATGCAGAAATTTCTGTTTCATTTGTATGGGAGCCCCCTCTTACAGAAGGGGGAGGGGTCTCGAACCATCATAAGAACCTTCCACGGCCCCAAAAACCCCTGTATACAAATTTTCACGCCAATCGGTTCAGTAGTTTCCGAGTCTATAAGGGTCAGACAGACAGAAATTCATTTATATATATAGGGTATACGTCCCTAACCTCGGTCTAATATGCAGCCATAGATTACGTTTTTAATCATAACTCATCAATTAATTTACCTGCAAACGATATTCTACTGCTAAATGGTATGCTTAGATATGCTTATCATGTCGTTTGCTATCAGGAACCGCAAAAAGTTGAAAAACTTACTTTTTTTAAGACAAAAACTCACCAGGGAAATGTATGTAATATCGGTCTATTGTCCCCAAATTGGGTCTATTTATGGATGCAACTTCGTCCTATCCTGTTTGATTCTCAAAAAAAACGCTCTTGGTAACGTTTTCTTATGTATTTTTTTTTATCACTATCACTGTTAACTTAATACTCTTCATTCCTCAAAACATTTCTTAGAGAAAATTTTACGAAAACTACATTAAATCACTCAAGTTAAAAATTAAAAATTAAAAATTTCGCTTATCGTCTTTCGACCGCAGAATATCTAAATCAAAACATTGTGATGTTCATTATACAGATTTGGCAGAAAAAATCTCCCTTCCTGTTCGTTCCTTATCATCCAAATGCAAACCACATTGTTGACGTTACTCTTATTGCTATATGCTGTCAAATGAATTTCATGGGCCAAAGTTAGGAACATAGAAAAGAAATGTGTCCCTAAAGTTGGGTCCATGATTTACTTGTGAAAACGTTGTTAAACAATTAAAATAAACATAAAATATTCAAACAGTAACTGTGAGTTTTACGTCTAGTGTGTATTATCAGGTAATTCCATTCAATAAATGCCATAATCAGGCCATTTGATGATCGTCAGTGCAACCTTCCCATCTTAACCTTAGAAGTCATGGCGGCTAAAAACTCCGAACAAAGTGATATTCTCAACCAGTTTTATTACTTACGAGAGCTGAAAATGTATTGAAATGTTGTGATATAAATTGATTTGTGTGTGGTACACATTTATCAATCATCAGTGATCAATATTTTCCTTATTTTTTGTGTAATATTCCTTAATTAATTATTTATTTGCGTGATAGGCCGAATGAAAGGACTAGACCCACATTACATACCGTAACCCTATAGAAGATAGATAGAAGATAGATAGATTTTAATACTTGATACTTGATATTTTGAATTAGGGGGGAAGAACGCAACTTCCTCCTATGCACTACGTTCCAGGCTGGGTATATTTTGGAGGGTGTCATTGGGCCCCTGATTTATGCTATCGCAACTCGATATGCGTCACTTTAGAGGGTGTTTCGCAACTAGTACTGTGACGATATCGATAAGTGGCGGTGTTTAGTAAATATCGGGTACGATGTTTAAAAATCTAAATCTAATATAATCGATATTGGTTTGATTTTAATAATCATCGACATGGTTCTACCAACAATCAATACGAAACTAACGATTTTAAATTGGCTCACTACTTGACTAGCCTATTGGTCCCAAGCAAATGATTAACGTACCCCATTCTAGTCGAAATTCTAGTACTACACAATGTTTGTTTTGATTCGCTATGAAAGTTTGACAGATAAAATGAGGGGTTAGTGGATTTTCCTATGTTTCGAGGGGTGAATCGATTAGCTTGGGACCGAAGAGAGTACCAGAGCTGAGCCAAAAAGTTGAGCACGTTTCTTCGGGATCTTCTAGTCTTACACACTTAGATTTTTTCGCCGAGATGGGCACCACCGAGCAGCTCGGCATTTTATTTTGCTGGATCTCAGTGAAAAACTTGCCAAGATTCAGCTAACAAACGGGTGTTTTGCCGAGATCTCAGCTAACAAACCTATTTTTTGCTGAATTTCCAGCAAAATAAAATGCCGAGCTGCTCGGTGGTGCCCATCTCGGCAAAAAAATCTTAGTGTGTAGAGTTACCTCTATGGTTCTACCGTCGGTGAGCATATCTCCAGTTAAAGGATCTGGTAACGAAGAATTTGTTCGTGAAAAGCTAATGAGAAAGATCTCTACCGCTAATTTGGTATGGGAGTTAGCACGAGGGAATGGTTCATCGCAATAAGAACCGAAGGATAACCAAGTGGACGGCTTACTTCGTACGGAAGGAAATTTATATGTAGGTACGTGAGGAGTGATTCGAACTAATGACATGAGCTATTTTTCGATATTTAACTTACTTAGGACAAGTAAGAAGAGTACGTTTCCATGTTTTTTCCAGGTGCCTCAAATATCACAACCTCGGAGCATTTGTTTTCGAAAAGATGGCAAATTTTGAGAGATGTAGTCTCGAAGAGAGGACAGAATATTTTTGTTTTATATAATATCGATGTTTTTGATTTTCCATATGCATTATGAAGTTGGAAGGGAATGACATATGTTTAATATATTTTCCATTGAATATTGGATATCGGACTCGTTATCGATACTCAAAATCCGATATCGAAATGATATCGATATTATCGATAAATACGACCTCGTCACAGCGCTAAACACCAGTTGTTTGATTTGTTAAGCTTTATCTTTCGTTTCAGTGTAGCTTTGGTTGCTCTTCTAAGCACTCCTTTGCACAGTGCCAGTTACTAATAAAAAAAATTAGCAAAAACATACTTTTTTCATATTTAGACTAAGCAAAACATATGACGGAAACATTCACCCACTATCCTTTAGTAACCAAAAGATAGCTAGAAAAGCTTTCAGATAGGCTTAAATGTGTTTTGCGATTTTTTGCGAAAGATGTTGAAATTAGGAATAACAAGTAAAGTGTTCTTTGGAAAATATCCGTTTCTAAGTTATATAATCTGCGGTGTATACTGTAGCAAGCTTCACAATGCCTTTTTCAAAGCACACCAGCACGCACACACATACACACACGCACCATATATCTATCTCTTATGGTTCATGAGTTATGATTTTTTTTAACAAGCAAGGGTGGCCCCTAGACAATTGGCATTCTTTAAATATCTACGATAAAAGAGATAAGAGATAAAAACGTTGTGCCTTCAACAAAGTTGCTTTGAATTTATTGTTCTACAACTGTTTAGAACACTGCTTTGGTCTATATCAAATAATAAAAAAAGTTTGTATATTTAATTCACCAATTGTAAGGACCAACCTAATTTTAGGAACATAAAAAAGAATCAACAAAAAAATATGAAACAACTTTTCCTAAGAAACCATATACACGGCGAATGAGAACGACTCAAATTTGAGTTTAGTTCACTCATAATCGCCAAAAGTGCAGGAACTCAGCGATGAGTTAATTTGCCTCATGTTTTCCCAGGCTTTTCCAGGATTTTCCAGGGAAAAATTCCTGAATTTGAGAAAAGTAAAGATTGGATTCACTCAGTCTATTGGTACTACTCCGAGACTGAATAATTTTTTTGTCAATTTCCTCATTTTCCGGCAGATATTTTAGATTTTCCACAGGAAACCATGACACAAATTTTAATCATCGCTGAGTTCCTGCACTTTTGGCGATTATGAGTGAACTAAACTTAAATTTGAGTCGTTCTTATTCGCCGTGTACCTAAAACTGACGGTTTAGGCGCAAACATTTTTGTTTTCCTTAATACGACTTTGGGACCATTGTGCATTGGTGTGACGTCTTGATTGTCAAGTTTTCTTCGTACATCTAAAAAACATTTATTCAACTGTTTTCTTTTGCCTATTTGCAACAATTTTGAGGTTTTGGCCAACTTTTGTTCTAAGGGGAACCACTGTGCTTTGCACTCACCTCTATCGGCTTCGGATTTGAAATTGTTAAATGTATGCATCGAGCACGTGGCTCACGATAATTCAAATTCAAACGCCCAAAAGGTATGCAACCTGTTGAGCCCGCACAGTAAATGAACATGCATGAGTGTGCGTTCAAAAAAAAACGGGAATGACGGTTTTTCTCTCTCGAACTGTAAATAAATCACACACACCAATGCATCGAACCGGTTGTCGTTGGTCGTTGGTCCAAAACTGCATGCATAGCTTGATTGTTGATATAACATTGCCGCATTCTCACTCTCGCCGTCGAAATAACGCATTGTCGCTGTGCTCTCCTATCGACACAGTTGGTGTAGTGCAACTTTCGTCATTTGTATAATATTTCAGTGACTATTCAAAAGCAAAAACGTATAGCAATCTGTTGATACTTCTGCTTTATGAATTAACATCTCTTCAACAAGTAGCCATACACGCAGGAAAGGGTGAGTAAAGTGGCAGCATCTTTTCAGCAACCGTTGATAAGGCTTGTTAGCTTCAGGCTGGCGACGTTACCTTCAATTTGAATAGGGTAAATGTGATGAAGACTTTGAACACGTACGCATGCTGGCTTTGGGCGAACCTACAGAACTCCCACGCAAGCGCATTTGAATGACCTTAATTTCGTGAGAACGTATCTACAGTGCATTATAATGCTCTCGCATTCTCTCCTACACGTCACTGACAGTGCAGATGATTTTGTGAATGTTTACAAAATAAAATCCTGCTATAAATAGTGTCTAATTTTCCGTCTGCTGTTTTGTTTCACTCCTCAGGGTCAGAGATAGCGAGTGTCAGTTGTAAATCGCAGTGAGTAATCCCAATGGAATCGGCAACTAGCGTAGAGACACAATCCGCGGTGGTCAATGGAAATGCCATACCCAAAGAAACAGGGGCCCCCTTGATGGTGCAGAGCCCCGATCAGCAACAGCGACCTCGAAAACTGTCCTTCGACGATAGTGACATGGAGCTGACGAAGCTGAAACTCGGAGCGGCCGTACATCGCTTTCCAGCTTCGAGGATACTAACTGCAACCGCTGCATGTGCCATAGTTAGTCTGCTCGTACGGTACCTGCTGCCATTCGATTCTGGTGAGTACGTTTGTGGGAAGTTGATGATGGAAGAGTTCCTAATTTACATGCAGTCCACCCATTTCAATGTTTACTATGCGACCGAAAGGTCATTCGGCCAATCGTTTCTTGTGAGTGCTTGTAGGTAATAGGTATCGTAAGGGACGAGCCATTAATGACGTAGCATATGTTTGTCCAATTTTAGACCTCCCTCCCCTCTCGTACCGCGTTTTGCTATACCTAATACATGACTGGTCACAACTTTTGTAAACCTCCCCTTCTCAAATATTACGGCATTCATGCATGTTCCCTAAACATTGCTCGCAGTGGTTGTGGTTGAACGTTAGGATGATTTTCGGAATGCGCAGCGATGGTGAGCAAAACAACATTGCAGATTGTTTACATTGACGCTGGCTGAAATACAGTGTCGCTCGAAATAGTTGGCACTGTTTTAAACTTTGTTTAAAGATTTTTCTTTTGTATTTTTCATGTCAAAAATGATTCATAGGACGAAATTTTGCACGAAATATAAAATAATTCTTTGAATAGAAACTTCAATCGAACAATTCTACACATTATTTAATAAACCGGGGACTCAGCATAGCGTTTGAAGAAAATTTTGAAAAACATCAAAAAGGTACATTTACTCAGTGGCGTCTCGTCTGCCTTGTTCAACCTGTTCATAAGACGGGTTGACCAAAATTTAAAACACATTATATTACTTACGATTTATTCTTAGGTAGATTCTTTCGATGATTTTTCAGACTGCATTGAGATGTAAACCACACTTCTGCAGTGTCCGCGAGCAACAACCTTTCACTGCGCATGTCCTCGACAATTTTCATATTAAAATTTGGATTTATTTATTTTTTTTTTATTGCGTTTATTTATAAGGCCCCCTCGCCTATTAGGCATTGCTTGGGCCGATGACCATTATTTACAATGAGATCCCTTGCCGCTTTTATTTTTCAAATAAAACGTATTATCCCCTATTTGATAAGTTGCATTATTTTCATCTAAACGATCTATTTGCTGACCAGTCTTCTGGGTGCACTGATCAGTACGAACTTTCTTTTTTTCGTTCTCCTTGTGTTTCGACAGCCGGCGTTTGTTGGTATTTTCATTGAAATCCTTTGTTGCGTTTGATGAGCTGGTGCTAGAGTTTTCGTCGTTGCTTGAAGTGTGATGATCCTCGGTTTGATTGTCGGTGTTTCGCTGTTGTTCTTCTGCTGAGAACCCGGTGAAAGCAGGAGATGATTGACCCGATGTCGTTGGCTGGTTTTGTTCGATATCAATCGACGGGAAATCATCGAGACTGAATACCCCCTCGGTTGGTGGAGCTGCTGGAGCGGTGCTATTGTTCGATGTGGCTACATCCAAACATTTCTGTTTGTGATGTGCTGCTCGGCCACAATGGCGGCACGTTTTTGGTTGCTTGTCATACGTTACCAACGTTGTTTGGTTGTCGACCGTGATGTACGATGGAATGGCGCTTTCGAGTCGCATTCGTAAAACTCGAACACCGCTCATGAATCCTGGGAAGTAGTCAGGGCTATTCTGCGCGGCGTGTGAGGTGAGGTGAGGTGACAGTGAACTGATGGTGAAGTGACTCTTGTCACCTCGGGTGAGGTGACTCTCCATTTGATTTGTACGGAGAGTCACCTCACCCGGGGTGACAATTGTCACTTCACAAGTGAGAGCGTGTCACCTCACCTCACACGCCGCGCAGAATAGGCCTGAGTGCTTCCATTTCTCATGTCGACTGGAAATCACTGTCCCGTACTATGTGGTTCATAACAGTGGCTTGTGGCCATGCCAGAGGAAGATCATGCACTCGAACGGTCACTGCTTCACAATCCACATATACCGGGATTTTGAACTCACTCTTCGCACAGAGAATCGCGTGTTTATAGTTGTGCGCCTTTTCATAGCGCAAGGCAACTTCATTGTCTATCATCTCAACAAAAACACAATTTCGGACGTTATGAAACTGAATGCATCTAACGTCCGAATATTGAAGCTTAATATTGTTCTCGAAGAATTTTTGCCCTTTTCCCGCATTGGGACGAACTGGAAGGACACTGAAGTCAACAACAAGTGTGTTTTTACGAACTACACTCATTTTCGCTACAATATTTCACCAAGTTAAGCAGAGCAGAAAGAGAACACGTCCGATGAATACGAGTACACTCAGGTCTTTTTTTACACGGGGGATACGGTCCGTGTAAAAAAAAAAACCGTGTAAAAAAAACCTACGAGATTTTGATTTTTCGCATGCTTAAATGTTTTTAAAAAATCGGATTTTGATGCCATTTGTAATTAAAGCATGATATGGTCCATATAGCCATATTTTAAAAATTTCTGTATTTACACCAAAAATTGTGATTTTTTTTTTTAAGTATGCCATTCGGTTACAAATAGCTTGAAACGGATAATGTGATTGGAATCAAGTCGATAGGTTGTATCGTTGTCGAGAAATCGTTAAAAACGTACCGTGTAAATCGTGGAAAACCGTGTAAAAAAAACCGTGTAAAAAAAACCGCGTAAAAAAAACCGTGTAAAAAAAGACTTTAGTGTAATGGCTGTCGAATGAAAATTTGGAAATTTTAAAATATTTGTTTTCAGAAAACTTGTAAAGGCTGTTGTTCACCAATTGAATTTTCACTTAAATTTGACGCTTCGAAAATAAATAATAATGTTCGAAAACCCTTCTGTTGTTGATCTTCCAATTTTCGAGAAGCTGTTTGTCAAAATTGATTCCTGGTGTATCAAAAATAAGTCTGGTACAATAAGGCTGTCCACGAGACAGTTGCGATCAGCTGACTTTTTTGTTTATAAAGAACTGACTGATCACAGTAGAACTCGCAGTTTATTCTCATATGAATTTCTGCTTTATTTATGTTTACATTCAGCACCATTAACACCAGATCACTCACACACTATAGATTTATAGCAGTCAGTTCCACTGAAAAACGTCTCTTGGATCACCTTACATCCCTAATAAACAAATACCATAAACGAACTGTATCCCGGATGGGTAAACTATCCCACAAATGGTTTGGATGATACCCCGACCACGTCGTTAAGCTCTCTTTTATGGTTATTTTATTAGGGATTGAACTGTGGTCGACGTGGTGAATAAATTTACATTGCGCGCGAGTTTACCACAACGCAATGACGTTTATGTAAGGTCTGGGCCAAAGGGCTTATTGGTGTTAGTGAAATGTACAAATGTCTATTGGTGTTCGTATTTCATTGCAATGTTTATCTTTTTACATGAAACAGCTGTTGACAGTGACGTATTTCTATCTGTCCGCAGTTTTGTATCCTAAATACAATGGTGGAAACGGTAACTTTACGGAGCAAAATAAAAGAACCACAGTCTTCGTTGCTGCTGAAGAAACAGTTGGTAGAATTAAGCAAAAACCCCGGCTGGCCTCATTGACGATAATGACATATTCCGATGGGATGTACCAGTCTTCAAGGTGCAGCATCGCGCTTGTGAGCAAATAGGTTTTTGTACTCACAAGAACATTCATTCTGTGCTCACGCATGCACCCAGCCAAATGAACATGAGCCCGAGCGTATGTTTAAAGTTCATGCGCGCACTTCGTTTTCTTCAGCGCTCGAACATCAATGTTTGCACCCAAGCGCAGACGCTGGTTTCTTTTTCAACATTTTGTTTTCGAGTAAACGTGTGGTGTGTGTGACAAACGCGAAATATTTTAGTGGTGATTTAGTAGCGTTACCTATTCAGATATCCTTTAAATTTGTCGAACCTCTTAAAGGAATCACTTTATGAAGAGCTTTGAGTGGGTTGGTTTATTTCCTTTAAATTCCGTTAGAATTGCTTATATTTTGACAGATACGCGTATTTCGTCACTACTTGCAGTGCCAAGTACCTAACAACAGTGGTGTTGAGTAGTTGGCACTGATGAAGTCCGCAAGTAGTGGATGAAATACGCGTATCTGTCAAAAGATAAGCAATTATAACGGAATTTAAAGGAAATAAACCAACCCACTCAAAGCTCTTCATTTTCAGATATCTTTTATCACAAGAAGTAATCATTGGTAAGTAAGACTGTAAAGTTAAAAAAATATATATTTCAGCAGAAACATATTTAGTGTAGTAATCCGCGCACTACGTCGTATGGCAGCCATTTCCATCCAAAAATTCTCAAAGCAAATTGCAACTAAAAAAAAAGTTTTGTGTTGTATTGTTCGCACAATTTCTTGATGGGGGTGATTTCTAAAAGAATGCTTATTTATATAAGAAAGCTCTTTATAGGTCGTATTTGTATTTTGGTCAGACTTATTTGAAATTCACTATATATTTCTTGTGTGAATGGATATACTTATTTTAATGACAAATACAACCATTGAGGTACGTAGGAACATCGATTTACGGAGGCAAACATATAACATTCTTATGCGATACCAGCTGGGACACAGGGACTGCAGGGGCCTCAGATAGCCTAGTATTATTCTAAATGTTTTCAGCACCTGCTTACTTATTTCCATAGTTATATTTAACTTTACACTATATACATTATGTTTATTTTATGGAAAGAACAGCATGTGATTTTAAGTAGGGAAAATTCTCGAAATGTTAGCGGGACTGGCATTTAAACCTCAAAATTAATAACTATAAAAATGCATCTAGAACACTAGTTTGCTTGGAATGCGAAAAAGAAGAAGAATTGTATACACTATCAATGATTGTATTGTCCGGATCAGCTACGCAAGTCTCAGTTGAGCGGTGCTTCTCGGCAATCAAGCTGGAGCAACATTGGCTGCGAATGTCCTCACAAATGCTCAATGATTTGATGACTATTCGGTTCAGTCGTTATTTGTTATTTTGATTTTCAATTGATAGATTCGATTTGTTGTTTTATTTTTTATGTGGTTAAATAAATAGAAACTATAAAATGAGCATATTACTTAGCAATAATAGAAAAAAAACCCACCAACCATTTTCCAAATTTGTGTGCAGCTTTTGTCCAACATTCCTTTATTTCGGAATACTGCATCCACTTCCTTTATCAATCCTTCTTTATTACTAAATTAAAATTGAACTACATTATAAACATTGCGCAATGCTTGACTGACTTTAAGTCTTTAAAAAGCAATCTTTAATTAATGGAATTACTGGCAACTGCGCGCAGCCAAAAAGATATTGGTGTTGACGATTGTCGCAAAACTGGACAAAATTTCTGTTTAAATTACACACGTTAAACCCCTATTAACATCTAGTCACTCGCCAACACCAACCAACCATTCACGTAAAACCTCCGAGTGCAACCTCGATGTTCGAGCACAGGCGCAAGCACGAAACATCAAGCCTGAGTTCATTTACGCTGCGCTCATCCACAGCAATGAGGTACAGAGAGAGGTGAAGCATATCGTGAAATATGGTTGTATTAGTAATCCAAAAAATCAACGTAAACGCAATTAGTGACGTCACTAATTGCTTGTATCGTACAGGGGTTTTACTCACACAACTTAACCGACTGCTTCACCTCGGTAATCCAGCTCATTGCATCCACAGGTGTTGTTCATTTCTCTCAAGTTCGATGTGCGTGTGTAAACATGAGCCTGAGAGAGAACACGCGCTCTGAATGAACTTGTACTTCTGAAATTTGAGCTCACGCTCAGCGCCGTGCATGTTTACGTGAAGACTGGGAAGTACTTATCATCGGGTCTCCAGATACTCTCTATGAGGGTGGTTTCTTCAAGGCACACTTGCACTTCCCAAAGGAATATCCCTTGAGGCCGCCGCGCATGAAGTTCCTCACAGAGATCTGGCACCCGAACATCGAACGCAACGGCGATGTCTGTATCAGCATTCTGCACGAACCTGACGATGACAAGTGGGGCTACGAGAAGGCCTCCGACCGCTGGCTGCCGGTGCACACCGTGCATTGGCGTAGCTAGATAATTAATCTGGAGGGGGCCTAAATAATTCTGGATGGAGGGCTAGATAATTATGGAGGGGGCCTGGCCCCCCTGGCACCCCCATTAGCTACGCCAATGACACCGTGGAAACGATTATGATATCGGTGATCTCGATGCTGGCTGATCCCAACGACGAATCGCCAGCGAATGTCTATGCGGCCAAAGAGTGGCGAGAGGCGTATCCAGAATTCAAGCGGAAAGTGGCGCGATGTGTTCGGAAGAGTCAAGAGAATTGTTAGTAGGATTTAAAAAAAAAATGTCTTATATTTATTAATTAATTAATAATATTACTATAATAATGAAGGAAAGGAAAGGATTGATGATGCTAAACGCAGTATGTTGGCAGTGACGTATTTCTATCTGTTCGCAGATGTTCAGCAATGTTTACAACATTTTTGCTTCTAACACCAGCAAGCTGCCTGTTGGCCCAGACCTTATATAAATGTCATTGATCACAACGGACTAAAATGCTTTTGAATGAATCTTTCAAATTGAGGATAAAGCTGAAAATTGCATAATCGAGCAAATCCTAAAACGCCCTTTTTCCGCCCGTACAATAGAGGAGAAAATGGCACTTGTGAAAAGTCCGGTTCCTTGCCCACCTATGGAACAATTGAATTCTTCGTACTAATTGAAAAGAAACACAATGTCACGTAACTTTAATATGTCATCATACGATCAACAATGGCTTTGTGGTTCGACGAAATTGAACAAATTCTATTGCTGGTCATGTTTGCTGTTCCGAAGCCCCAATGTAAAAAGTGTATGGTCCAAATGATCTGAATTACCTTTCGGCATCACAAACACAACAGCATCCATCGAGCGGTCGTTTTCAGTTCTACGGCGTCTGAAAAATTATTTAAGGACGACGGGTGAAACTCAACTGTTAAATTGATGATGATTGCTGTAGAGGTACAGTTGCTGAATGAAATCATGAAAAGGCCATTATTGACGCATTTTCGAGCAAAATTAATAGGAAAATTCCACTTTTGTATCGATAGGCCAACCGTTGTGAAGAAAATCGAAAATATACCAAACATCTTGTTTTAGTAAAAATGATGAACAGGTGTCTGAAATTGTCACGCGTCGTCACTGAATAACTTCGTTTTTTGACAATAAATTAGCACATTGACAACTCACTCCCATACAAATTTTTGCTAAAGTAATCACACTTATTTAAAATAGTTCCAGTTCACAAAATTTGATGAAATTTTGGATCACGGTTTAATTTTTAATGCAGATTACGAATATGCATTTACCTCAATACCCTTAAAGAGCCCAATTGCGCAGACCTCGATTCAGGAGTAAGAAAAAGTGGAAGGTCAAAGCGAATCTTACCAAGTTACAGGCATTTTTTATTTATAGATGAAACCTTAGATACAGTATCCAGTGGTGGGCTTTTTTGGCTATTGTGGGTTGCGCTACATAATGCTTGTAGTGGATGTTTTTAAGTGAACGCTAATGATGTGTGCCTACACATTTTTGTTGACCACTGTTGTAGAAAGCAGTTGCACCCACCAAGGGGCTGTCCATATACCACGTGGACAGTTATTGAGATGTTTTAGACCACCACCCTTCTTGTATGTATCGTGGTCCATTTAAACGATTCGTGGACATTTAAACTCCCACACCCCCCACCCCCCACCACCACATGGTATATGGACAGCCCCCAACAAGCGCAGTACACATCAATTATACCAACACTAGATATAACTAGCTAACAGATGCATGGAGAGAATTTTCGCCATAAACGCAATCGCGAGAGGAACGTGAATTGAGTAATAATGAAATCATCATTTCTTACAAGCTGTCTTTGCACTAACCGGCAGTCGCCGTTCTATGTGCTTAGCCGATTATAAAATCTGTTTTCACGCTCACGCGAAAATCCAATAATCACATTCCACCGTCAGCGAGGAAGCTATGAATACAATGCACACCTAGGGAATTCAATAGTCGTCGTCGTCGTCGTCACACTCGAATTGATGAGCGCTCTCGAACTGTTCGTTTCAGGGTCATTCAAGGCAGCACTCGCCGCACTCGAACGGGGTCGCCAGGCCGTCACGGATCGGGTCGTGGTGGATTACAGCCGTGGATACGCCACCCTGCAAGCCACGATGAAGGATGCCTACGAAGGAACCCAGGGCATCCAAGATCCCTCGTTGGTGGTGTTTGCCACGGTGTTCGCTGCGGTCGTTACGTGGTTCACCTACTATGTGGTCTACCTGGACAGTAGCATCCCCGGCGTCAATCCGCCAACGCCGTTTTCGGCGAGTAAGAAAAAGTAAGTACGAACTAGTGTATGTAGCTTGATTATGCATTCATGGTGATTTGTGTCCATTTGCAGGAGATTTTCCGACAAAGAGCGACGATTCCACCTCGGGTACGTCACGGCACTGCTGAGTGGACTTACTGTTTTCATGATAATCGTGCTGGTCGATTAACTTCCTATATTCTAGTCTTCGTGCGCTCTTGAAAATCGTAATTTGTATCTCGTTTTTTTTGGACAGAGGACAGCCTTATTCACCACATTCTTAACAGTAGATTTATAGGAACAATAATTTTAGATAAAAGACGCTTTTTGTGTCAGCAGACTAGTAGCAGGCTTAGCTTATTGGATGGCTATTTATTGCAGTAGGTACTAAAACAGCAGAATTAGGAATGCATTTTCAAGTCCCATGACGGTTTGCTTCAGAAGATTGGAATAAAAAAGTTTATGGTTTTAGTCTGAATTTGTAAATAACTGCAAATCTTAAGAATACATAAGACTAACATTTTTTACTATTTACGTTTCATGTCAAGGAAGTAAGCATTTTTAGTTTTAAATAAAATCCTATTTTTGGTACAAATATAAATAGTAAGTAACTATGTAATTTGAATGATGGTATTTTTTATCTGTGCGTGTGTGTGTCATCATCCCATTCGCGTGCTCATTATTCTCGTCCATATATATATATTCTTAAGAATTCAACTGAGTGTTTAATGGCTTCGATAGTTTTAGACTGTATGGAACATCTTTTGTTCTACCACAAAAATACATATTTACATCTCAAAACAGCCACAAAAAACCTTCTGGGAAGAAACGGGTTAAACAGATGTTCTATATGTGAATCGGATGAGCTCGAAAATAGTAAGCTACCAGGAATGCCCAAGCAACATTTTCGTATTAAGGTTTTTAAGTGCATTCTAGAAGGCTCTTGAAAATCATGCTAAAACCGAAAATGTTACTTGAGTGCTAAACGGTTACGAGTCGACGGAAACTTGTCTATTTGATACATGTTTCACATCGAAGATGCGTCACACATACCAAAACGGCTAGGCCTGCTGTGCAGCATTTAAGGGGCAAGACGATGGTTCAGAATCCAATAAATGGATGAAACGTGTGACGGAAATAACGGGAAGAGAAGTGAAAGTTGCCAACAGAGTGACGAGATTAAAACATCAGACACATTAACTAGCCAGTTAAATTCATTTGATTTGCAAAAATAATAGCTTCATAATTCATGTTTGGTATGTATATGTAGTTAACTAGTATTATTTTTAACACAATTTTGGATATCTATCGATAATGAGGATACAATCTAATCATTAGAACCAGATATTCGACTGGTTCCTATCGTTTAACCGACACCACAAAACCACTTACCGTTTGCAGTCGCTGTCCCATCCGGTCCTCCTCCGGAGTGGCAAGCGTTATCTTCAGAATCTGCAAGCGACTGCCACCGGTCAGCCTCCCCACGCATCGCACCAAATCCCCCACACTTACCGCAGGCATGTGGAAGTCAATCTCATAAAATACACCTTGCATGACCGGACCGGTGCGGTTCCGCAGTAGCAGTATCTTTTCACATTCGTACGCCCCGGCTTTAATGGTTAACACGTTGGCAAATACCTCCACCAGCGGGGAACCGCCTGGACTAGTTTTCGAAAGTTTCATAATATGTTCCACCGAGCCAGTCAGAATGCGAAGTTTCTTCACATCCGAATTGGTCGACTTGGAGGGTGGCGATGTCTGTTTCGATGGTCCAGACGTTAAGGCTGGGAAGGCAGTTTTCGAGGACCATCTGTTTCCATTCACTTGGTTTCTAGGTTTCAATGGAAGGGGTTCAAACTGAACACGTTTGGCATGTATCTTCGAATTCCCGTAGCCATCCTCGTGTTTTCTTTTGAGGGAAGCATCACTGCTAGATATTTGCAAGTTCTCTATAATTCGCGTTGCCACGGTTGTGGTACTATCCGGAATATTTGGGATGGCAAAATTGAAACCGGAAGTACTGTTTATCTGAATAAATAAAAGCTTTTAGTTTCCTGCACAAAATTACGCCGCCGTTCCTAAAAACTTACCACTCCATTTTTGTTCGCCACATTACGCAGGAATGGTGTTCCCCCGTTCGAGCTGTTGGTAAATGCGGCGGACTGCATTTGATTGAACATCAGAAACTGCATCGCTGCTGTGGAGGCAGCTGATGGTGGCTGAAGGGTAGGAGTGCTACTGGCAACATTCTCGTTGTTATTGGTGGAGGATGACGCAGGTTTCCTTAGCAGGGTTGGTGTTTCCAGGACGGCTGCAGCGGATGTGAGAAAACTAGAGTTTCTCACCGGAGCCGGAGTGCGGGGGCAGTTTACCATGACTTAAAAAAAAAGTACATGGCTAGTTGAGACTTGAAATGAGAATTAATTTGTAGGCTAAGAATTTCTTACAGTTTCTATTCATGATTATTTGGGAGGAATCATCCTAACTTGTGTTTGACTTAAAAATCACAATGTATGATTTAATTTCACTGAGAAAACTAATTTTAATTCATCTCGGAAGACAGCAACGACAATTTTAGAACATTTCGTTTTAGTACAACAAGAAAACGAAACAATCGAAATGCATGCAAAGTCGTCTATAAATTACGCCACACAAATTTAAGGTAGTCTACACGCTAAGATCAGTTTATCCAGATTGCTCAAAGACATTGTACGCAGTCCGGACAAACTCAGAATATGGTAAGTACTATCACACTTAATCGCGGTTTAAAACTACTGATCTCGTTTATATGATTAGTAGCTTTTTCGACAATCTCAAGGGGTATTTTTTTCCTCTGTTCGGGACCTAACACCACTGCGACCAGTACCTTGATCTCGAGCTTGATCTATTGTAGTAAATCCCGTGTCCTTATCCGTGTCGTGTGCATGTCGTATTACCACCGACAAACCGACATGAATGATCATACAAAGTATCATCAAATTTCTGATCAAAGCACAAAACTGACATCTGCCGTCGTGTTCGCGAAAAATGTGTATCCTAGCCACGATCACACATACTAAATGTTTGAGTTGGTTCGTGTCTAATCTATTCCGGGCAAATTATTTTTATTTAGGTAACAAATTTCTATGGTTTTGACAGATGGAATCGCTGCACATTTGAATCCGCCGTTATGGATTCTCGATCAAGAGTTAAGTTTTAGTTTCATGTCGGTTTGTCGGTGATATTACCAACAATCAATACGAAACTAACGATTTTAAATTGGCTCACCACTTTAGTAGCCTATTGGTCCCAAGCAAACGATTAACGTACCCTATTCTAGTTGAAATTCTATTACTACACTATGTTTGTTTTGATTCGCTATGAAAGTTTGACAGATAACATCAGGGGTGTGTGGATTCATGCATAACATGCAGGGGTGAGTGAAATAGCTTGGGACTCCTTGGGACCGTTGTTCTGGTACTGAGTGAGCCAAAAATAATAATGATTTTCTTCGGGACCCAGTGGTCTTAGAGTTACCTCTATGATATTACTCCATCACTATTGAGAAATGATGAAGTGTTCGATTTTGATACAGTTGTCATTCTTGTCTTCATCTCAAGGAATCGATTCTAATTGAAAGGTCCCACTATTTATACCCTTCGGAGTGTTGAAACACCCTTTTCAGTCAAAATTGGATTCCTTAGCAACAAAATTAAGGAATGACACCGATAATGACCATGCATCAGAATCCTTAGAGATGAACTAGCCTAAGGCTAAAAATCTCTTTAATAAAGCTTTAAAAAAAAAAACCATGCATCAGAACCCTACACAGCAAAAAAAAATGTAATATAGTTCGATGTAATTCAAGCTGATGTATGAAATAATGATGTAATAGCAAAAAGCAGATACAATATTACATCAATGGATGTAATTTTGTTCGCAAAATCGATGTACATCGTACAACGTTATATTACACAACCGATGGATTGACCTGGTTGCAGCAGTTTGGATGTAATATTCAACAACTTTTTTTTCTGTGTTGTCTTAATCACTTCAAACTAGGGAACAACGAATAGAAGATCACACAGCAAAAAAAAATGTAATAATAACGTAATTCAAGCTGATGTATGAAATAAAGATGTAATAGCAAAAAACAGATACAATATTATCATAGAGGTAACTCTAAGACCACTGGGTCCCGAAGAAAATCATTATTATTTTTGGCTCACTCAGTACCAGAACAACGGTCCCAAGCAGTCCCAAGCTATTTCACTCACCCCTGCATGTTCTGCATGAATCCACACACCCCTGATGTTATCTGTCAAACTTTCATAGCGAATCAAAACAAACATAGTGTAGTAATAGAATTTCAACTAGAATAGGGTACGTTAATCGTTTGCTTGGGACCAATAGGCTACTAAAGTGGTGAGCCAATTTAAAATCGTTAGTTTCGTATTGATTGTTGATATTATATCAATGGATGTAATTTTGTTCGCAAAATCGATGTACATCGTACAATGTGATATTACACATTCGATGGATTAACCTGGTTGCAGCAGTTTCGATGTAATATTCAACAACTTTTTTTGCTGTGTAGGAATCACATAGATGAAGACTAACTAATTCATTTTTTCTTTGTTTCAAGATCATCCTCGGTGGACAAAGCCGAGTCTTGTCACATCAACAAGGCATAAAAAGTAACAAGGACTAAGATGTGTTCCTTGGATTACTGAAAAATCCTGTTCCCCTAGTTTGAAGTAATCAGGACTAGCAATCGGTGGTAGATCTTACATCCCGTAACGTACCATGAAAAGGTGATCTACCCACGTTACGGGGCATCTCAAGGGGTAACTCACTCTGCTACCTTGTGTTTAACACTCCAAAAACACAGTTCGACACACTCCAATCCTTGCTCCAAACACACTTTCACCTTGTGCGTTAACTTATCTGGTTGGATCGAGGGTTCGATCTCCAGACGTTAAGTAGTGTTGTTGGTCTTTAAAATTTATATGAATTGGAGACAAAATGAGGGCACTTATGGATCCCTACGGGCACTTAGGTAGAATTAAAATCAGTGACGTCTCGGTTACTTCACTGCACTTTATTAAAATTCTGGGATCTTCTTTTAACTGTACGAGACTTCTTTGAATATAAGACCAGGAATTGTCTGCAATAGAAATAAAAAATCTGACTTTTATTCGTTGATGTGGATGAGAATGCGTATTTGAGGATAAAATAGACGTATGACCCTGTAGTGGACTTTCTTTTTCCTTGATTTGTTTTCCGTCGATCTTGTTTTCCGTGCTGATCACCAATGCTACCGACACCAGGGAGGCAGCTCCCACACCTGGACCCTACCTATCGACCCATGAACTCATGAACCGGGGACCAACGGCTTTACTTCCCTGCCGAAGGAAGGCGGGATCAGAGATGTTATGCCTCAGAACATTCCAGTGGCGTCTACTGGTATTTAACCCAGGGCTGCTGGGGTGAGAGGCAATCACGCTTACCACTACACCACCGGCGCCGCTCTTGTATTGGACTTGGAATAGTTAAGGGAATTCCGTAAATTTCAAATTTTTTTTAAATAAAACGTAAGGGAACTTCGCTGAAAATAAAATTGTGCATACACACAAAAAACAAAAATGGTTCTTATAAAAATTTTGCCATTTCAAATTAAAAGTTTCCCGAATTTCGTAGTTTCAACTACGAAAATATTCTGAATGAAAGTAATTTTGTTTGTTTAAAAATGTTTCTTTCACCTTTGACTTGTAATTTTAAAAGCTCATATTTTTAATTAAAAGTTGTTAAATTGTCAAAAATACCAAATCATAACAAAGTATTTGGCAACACGGTGCCTTCTTTTGCCGCTAAATTTGACTTGACGTCACTCAGACAAAGAGGTAGAAAAAGCTGGGACGGAATTTTGATCAATTTCAATTCATCAATCACAAGTACTTAATTTAAGCAGGTTCCGCGGAAAACATTTGCTTCAGGTAAGAGATGAAATGAAAATACATATAGAGCATTGGAATTTAATAAGAAACTGATTAATTTCAGGTAAAACGGAAACAAATACTATTAAATTTTGTAGAAGAAAGCATCGAGAAGACGGATATAACAAAATATCTCCCCGGGAAAGACAGTGTTGAGCTGTTCTAATCGAGGTGAGTTTTATTTGAAAGTACAATTTTGAGAATACAATTTGGATATTTTTGCAGAATCCAAAGTAAGAGCAATGCCATCAGTACAGCTCATCGATTTCCTCAACGAAAGCAACGTGATCCTCAATTGAACGGAATCATTCAACTCAACCCGCTGAAGATCAAAAGCGAGCGCTGGAAATCATCATCTCCTGCAAGTATGATGGAACGGCTCAGAATGCAAGTGAGTAATCATCAACTGTAGATGCAAAGTGTATAACTTATTTTTATAAATTTTTCTCGCCAAGGACCGTCCGATTTAATATCTGATGAAAATGTACCGGGAACCGATCATGATGCTATTTGTTGGGTCATCTTCTTCTGTACCTATCCATGCACCTATCGCTATCGCACTTGAACATTGTGGTTCCTCTCAAAGTGGAGACAGCTCCAATACCGAGGCCAAAACGTAAAAGAAAGCATCACCATCGATATCACATATTCTTGGATCTTTTTATATTGTTATCTCGATTTATTTTTTTTTTATAAAAAAACACCATTTAATATTTATGAAAAGTAAATAAATTTTATTATTTTGTAAAAAGCTTATTTTGCTTTTGAAAATATTGTATTTTTAATTCAAAATTACACATATGTCATTTCAACTATACCATATTTTCAAGTCAAAAATGTGTTTTATATGAACAATATTCCGCCTTTAATTTTAATACAGTCACGCTTTTAATTTGACAGAAGTACAATTCTTTTTGAAAGTTTTAACTTTTAAAAATGGCTAGCGAGCAACTTTTGATTTGACAGTTTGCTGACTATCGTTTTGAAAGCTAACCGCTTTCTACCAAAAAGAACCAATGCAAACTTTCAATTCTACCAATGGTTTTTTTAAATTTATCAACGATTTTTCTTTGTGTGATATTATCATACAATTTCTTAAATTTATTTTATTTGCATAATCCATTGGAAACAAGATTGGAAACGTTTAGCAAGCATCGGTAGCAAGGAAAGTTGACGAGTGCCCTGGTTATATCTGAATTTTTAGGTCAAAATATCGATTGCTGTTTTTCAGTACAGTCAAAAATAAATTAAATCAAAAAAATTTTTTTTTTTTTTTTTTCCTTTATTTACAAGGCTTTCAGCCATTGGCTGGTTCGCCTTGGGAAAATCAAAAAAGATTAAAAAGTATGTGAATTCCCGCTTCATCTTGTTGAGTCAGAGTCATGATTACTTCGGCAGTAGTCATGCATGATTAAATTCTAAATAATCACTTGTGATAAAAATGTATCTCTTCAGAATTACATCTTAATATTTTAGAATATTAATATACAATCTAAAAAGAATAAAATTCAAACAAAAATGATTGAAAATTTTTTTAAATTTATTCAAACAAGATAACTTTCAATATAACCAATAGAGTGATGCAAAATTTGAAATTTTCGCTCCACAATACTTAAACGATTCCAAATCGGATCCTGACTCACCTCTCAAAATTTGAACAAATTTGGTGAGAAACTGAGATGGCACACACCATTTGAAGTTTGTATGGGAATTACTATGGTAAAACCAAGATTTTTGTTCATGTCTATCTAATAATTCACCATATCGGTAAGCTTTCAACTGTAGTTGTAGGAAATTTTCTGAGTTGCAACTTTGCTGAAGACCACTTTTTGATTAAATACAAGGATCAATGGTTCAATGCGCTGATGTCTTACGATCATGCTCAATCAACTGCTCAGCAGGCAACATTGGTGTTTCATGGGCGTTGAATAGGGCACAACAATCATGGCTACTATGCAACACTGCAAAATACAGTGTTGCCTACAGAGCAGCTGCTTGATCATGTCATAAGTTTACCAATCTCTTAAATAATGAATAACATTTTCCTGTCTCGTTTTACATAGAAACGACCTTGAGCAAAGTTGTACCTGAGAAAATTTTCTACAAGAATGGCTATCGAACTGTCTCGCAGCTCAATATGGAAAAATACTAGAAGGCAATGAACAAAAAGTTGAGATTTCCCATAGTAATTTACATGTAAACTTCAAATGGCTTGTGCGAAGTCTGTTTCTAACCAAATGAGTTGTAACTCTGCGAGGCTAATCAAGACCCGATTTGAAACCATTTAAGCACTGTGGAGCGAAAAAGTCAAATTTTGCATCAGTCTAATAACAAACCATGATTAAACCCTGGGTATTGCGAACACAGTCGATTTTATTTTGCAAGTCAGCAGGAAACAACTTGAAAATTTTCCGATGAAACATATTGTTTTGCTAATGCACTGCTCTCAAATTGCATATACATGCTGTCAAAAGTTCATCGTTTGCTCCATAAATAACGTGTACATGGTGTTGGGAGTGCACCTACCCACATGACTCTTACAAAGCTTGTTTACATTCTTCCTTCAGCAGTTCGTTCAAGTTCGTTTGTTCGTTGTATTGTTCGTGCCCTGTTTCACAATTGTAGAAATATACTACTAAATTCATTAATTACTAATAAAGCGTGTAATGAATGTCTTTCAATGTGCACAACCCGAGTTCCTTTTGATTTGGAAATTGGCCGCTATACTATTTTGCTACAAAAATCAACAGACAGTCTACCTGATTATCCTTCAGAACAAATCTTCTATTACTATGCGACGTTGGACTACTGTTATACACAGCTGAGAGAGGATGGTATTGAAAATTCAGGGAAAGAGTTTTCAACATACCTACATTCTGTTCCTTTCCCAGTAATGTTACCAAACTGCCACGAATTGAAAAGCTGTCTTATAAAATCGTTGATACGACATAGATTAAATGCGCAAAAAAGTATGGAAAATGCGAAAAACTAAATACGATAGTCGAAGCATGTTTATTTGAATGTGATCAATAAATATTATGTACTGTTAATACAAACGTGTAAAAAAATTATTGAACAAAGAGTATTAAAAATAAAGACTTTTTTGTTGAATTAAATGACAACATTTTTAACATTGACCACAATACTTCCTCTGCCGACGGAGATTGTTTTAGAACAGTAACACTTTTAGCAGCTCTCGATTGTTGGATTCTTTTTGACAGCACCAGTTGGATTCTTTTTGACAACCATTTCGTGTTTCTCCGCATCACTCAGATTAAACCTCGGAATAAACTGATCCAGCAATCCGTTTTACTAATATTGCACACTTAAATTTGGTGTGTATACACCTTATTTGAATTAGCGGGGGGATACTGTATCAATATGCGGTAAAATTGCTGAATTTTGTTCTAAAACGTTCGGTAAAATGATTCGGCTCGCACGAACCGCGAAGCTGTCAAATCCACCGATCCCCGTGTCGGCTTCGGCCTGTTGACGTGCAAAACTTCAAAGTCTTTTTGCGCTGCTACCCGTGCGGACACATTTCCTGGATTATTGCAATTTTCAAGCGAATTGTTTTCGTATTTTCTACGTGAAAATACGGATTTTTGTTGTGTAGAACTGTTCCTGGCGACCCGGGCCAAGCGTGAACCATGAGTACGATTTTGGAAAAGATCTCCCAAATCGAGGCCGAGGTGGGTAAAATGATTCTGCATTTGGATGGATAAGGTTATGACGATTTTTTTTTAATTTGGATGAATAGATGGCCCGTACTCAAAGGAACAAGGCCACAGCTGGTCATTTGGGCCTGCTGAAGGCGCGGCTGGCTAAGCTGCGGCGCGAGTTGATCACCCCGAAGGGTGGCGGCAGTGCGACCGAGCAGGGATTCGAAGTATCGAAAACCGGAGATGCCCGGGTTGGATTCGTCGGGTTCCCGTCGGTCGGCAAGTCAACGTTACTGTCAAATTTGGCCGGTGTTTATTCGGAAGTGGCAGCATACGAGTTCACAACGCTTACGACCGTTCCCGGCTGTATCAAATATAAGGGTGCAAAGATTCAGCTGCTGGATTTGCCTGGAATCATTGAGGGAGCCAAGGATGGCAAGGGTAGAGGTAGACAGGTCATTGCCGTGGCTCGGACGTGCAACTTGATTTTCATGGTGCTGGACGTGTTGAAGCCGTTGACGCATAAGCAGCTGCTGGAGCATGAATTGGAAGGGTTTGGTTTGCGACTGAATCAGCAACCGCCGAATATCAGCTTCCGAAGGAAGGACAAGGGTGGAGTGAATTTGAACACAACGGTCACCCAATCGGAGCTGGATTTGGATACGGTCAAGTCGATTCTGTCGGAGTACAAGATTCATAATGCGGACATTACGCTGAAGTACGATGCCACGACGGACGATTTGATCGACGTTATCGAAGGCAATCGGATCTATATTCCCTGCATTTACCTGTTGAACAAGATCGATCAGATCAGCATTGAGGAGTTGGATGTGATCTACAAGATTCCGCACTGCGTGCCCATTTCCGCCCATCACCATTGGAACTTTGACGATCTGCTCGAAATGATGTGGCTGTACTTGAGGCTGGTGCGAATGTAAGATTGACTTTCTGGGATTATTTTTTCAGGAATTGTAAAGGTTTGATTGAATGATTATCGATTTCAGTTACACGAAACCCAAGGGACAGCTGCCGGATTACAGTTCACCGATTGTGTTGCATAACGAGCATACGAGCATCGAGAATTTCTGTAACAAGTTGCATCGCACCATCGCTAAGGAGTTCAAATAGTAAGTCATCGGAAATAATCGCTATTGCTAAGTAGTTGGACCTAACGGTACTTTGATTTCAGCGCCTTGGTGTGGGGTTCCTCCGTTAAGCATCAACCGCAAAAGGTCGGTATCGACCATGTGCTGAATGACGAGGATGTCGTACAGATTGTGAAGAAGGTTTGAGCTTTTCCGCGAAATCAGCAAAAATTGTGTAAGTCTATTACTATTAAATCATTTATTCAAAAGTTTCTTTTTGATAACGACAACAGGCATATCGTTTTGTGTGTGTGTTTCTGGATTGATCAGTTGAGAAATTCTTGTTTATCGGTCTTCGTAAGAGTCATCTTCTTCGTCGTCATAGTCATCGTCGTAGTACATAACAGGCATAGGCATGGGCATGGGCATTGGCATATACATCGGCATGGGCATGGGCTGCTCCGTAGTCGTTGTGGTCGATGATTTGGCAAGCATCCTCAATCGGGACATCACGAATTGTCGATGGAACTCCGAGTCGTTGAGGGCTTTCCGCGTGGGAAATCTCCGTGCTACTGGTGACAAAGTTGTGCTTGTAGTCGTAGTCGTCGTAGTACTAGTAGTAGTTGAGGTGCTTGTTCTTGGAGCTTTTGTAGATCTGATTTTTTGCAGATCTTTCTTCAGCAAGGGTGGACGATTCTGTAGCCTTGCCTTCCGTTGGGATTGCGTCGATAGCGCACTCTTGGCAGTGGTCGTCGTTGTTGTCGTTGACTCTGTAGTAGAAGGTACCGTCGTAGTTGTGACTGGCTCCGTAGTGGTTTCCTCGTCCATCATCGTAGTCTCAGTGTTACTGCTTGTTGAATCCAGAGTAGTGAACTCAGTGGTCGTCTCCTCAGGAACTTCCATAGTTGTCGTTTTCGTCGTCGTTGATTCGGGATAGACTAGGACCACCTTAGTAAGTATTTCCGGTCTTTCGGTCGTGGAATTCTGAGCCATTACAATCATCATTGAATCCTCCGTGTTTACCGCTGATCTTCGCGATTCATTTTTATGCTTTGATCCTTCATCAAAATAGAAGTCTTCACTGCCAAGCGTCGGAAAGTACGGTCCACAGCAGTGATTGAACGTATGATCCGGGCAATGAAAGTGCAAGTTGAGGAACGTTTGCTCGTTCAGGTTAACTCCTTGGCTGTAGCAGGTGTTGATAGGGACGCAAGGACATCGCCGCAGTAGCGAATCAATCTCTTTGAACATCAACGTCTGATCCACTGGAATGGTTGCCGACTGAATCAGCGGCAGCAGCAAACCAACAACCGTAACTATTCTATCCAATGCCATATTCTAAAACAAACATACTTCAACTTGAACTCAAACCCCGTTTATTCACAGTAATCAATTTCCACCTTACCTAACAATAGCACAGAAACACACTCATCACTGGACTCTCAACATTAAGCCGCAGCTGGCGCTTGGCACTGCTTTAAATAATTTTTCGGGAGGGTCAGCTAGCCGTCAGCTAGCACATCATGATCAAAGTCTATCGATCTGAGCTAAGGACGGTCAGGTTCTGCTTAGTTTGGCAAAAACTGGATTTCCAATTGCTGCTGTTGCATAAAAGTATCGTCGAAGTTCAACGATCGTGGCGCGATGCATGTAGGTACGTAGATACGGTGCATTGAAGTGCCTGAGGGTGAATATTTCGGTTCGCATACCTTCTTCATTCTTCCATATGGAACAGACTGTGGCTGTGAATGGTCTTGACAAGAAATTGTTGTGTTGCTATCGTTTCGAGTTTTGTTTGTTTTATGTTGTTCTAATGAATCTCGAAAGACCGGTATTTATTCTTTGATGGACGGTGCCTACACTTCTCTTTGTACTCGAAGCGAACCAATCTGAATATTAACGGCAAGATCAGTTCATGAGCAAACTGGAACCTCCCGAGAAATAGTTTTGAAAAGTCGAGGCCCGTCTGCATTGTACTAGTGCCTTTATCACAAGGAACTGTTTCTAATTGATAGGTCCCGCTATTTATACCCTCCGCGCGCCCCTTTGTCAGTCAAAATCGGATTCTTTAGCAACCAAATCAAACAATGGCAACGATATTGACCATGCATCAGAAACCTAGTCTTACCACTTACGACAAGAGGACAACGAATAAAAGAATAGGAATCACGTAGATGAAGGCTAACTAACTTAGTTTTCCCCTGTTTCAGGATCAACCTCATGAGCAGGCATGGAAAATCATTTACATGCATTCATTTACATTCATTTGTCTCTAACTTTTTTCATCAACAGCATTCCGCAAAATAATGTATAGAGCTTTTGTAGGTTTTGTTATTAACTACAACTTTTTCCCATAACTCAAATCTGTATCTTTTATGCATTACGAACTAGAGTGAGCAGAACTTGCTACTGTTTTTCAGTGAATGTAAAATACATTCACTGAAAAACAGTAGTGGCTTCTGTTCGCTCTGGTTCGTCACGCATAAGAGATACGGATTTGAATTGTTTTCAAAAGTTGTAGCTAATAACAAAGCCTATAAAAACTCCATACATCATTTTGCGGAATTCTGTTGATTAAAAAAGTTAGGGACAAATGAATGTAAATGAATGCATGAAATGAATGCAAATGATTTTCCATGCCTGCTCATGAGTCTTGTCATTATTTGTTATATTTTATTCGGATTGTATTTTATTTTCCTTGATTTCGTTGTTGTCAATCAACCGTTTTGATACAACGATAGTTACATTTTATGTCTTACTTCTAAGTATCGAATGGCTGAAATTGTCATTTCAACCACCAGCAATTGGTCTAAAGAGTTAAGTTTTTGTAAAATGTACGACATCCACCTTTCTCATTAATCGAGAATAAACACGACTTCATCAAGGTGGACGATACGTTGTGAACCACCTGCAATGATATCCAGTTCTTGAAGCTGCCGAAAACATCAGCAGCGCTGCTGCTCCAAAACATATTTAAGCTCCAATCATTTAACATGCGGCAAGGTGGCAAACAATTGATTTAGCTGTTTTCGAATTGGCGAGCGCAATTTGCGTGAATCATGCTTTACTGAGACGTTATCTAGAAAACTTTCTATATTTTCCGGAACGCGGCGCTGTACCGAGCTTAATCGTAGAGGAATAGAAAGAGCTGTCGAATTAGCACCAAAGCACAAGGGAAATTTGGCAATGTAAGTAAAACGAACATATATTACCAATGCATTGTAAAATTTTTTTTAGACTTGAGATCCGGCCTTCATAAGACCCTCTTCTGTCTCGTAAAATCAAAATGAAATCAAAAAATGCATTGTAAAACATTTTTAGGGAATAATCACGATGATTATTTGGTATTACATATCTGCATAACATTACAAAAAAAATACTGCAATTAATAATAAATTAGAGGACAGTGTCTAGACCAAATCTTGTATCACAGACAAACAGACATAACTCTTTGAATATTTTGACATCATCGCTAAAACATCACCGCCATCTGTTGAGGGGCCTCCATTGGCTCAGTTGGTAAAGGCGCAGCTACATAGCAAGACCTTGCTGAAGGTGGCTGGGTTCGATTCCCGGTCTGGTCTGGGAATTTTTCGGGTTGGATAATTTGTTGACTTCCCTGGGCATAGAGTATGATTGCCAGTACTTGCCACACAATAATACTAATGCAGAAATGGTACAGGCATCTTTCAATTGATAACTGAGGAAGTTCAACCCATTGGTAATAGAAAACTTTGAGAAGCTGTTCGACAGAAACACTCAAACAAGATTCATGAGTCTCTATTACGAGCACATGACGCTGGAGATGGGCCCTTCTTCATTCAATTCCTCTCCTGTTTACCTCTAAGGCTTTTATAGTTCCGCTGTAAATTTTGATCTGACCATGTTGCAAGAAATCCGTGGAATACCGATCACAATTGGTCGATGGTTGTTCCCTTAATTTTTGCAAACAGGTACCATCATGTCAGTAACAATAAGAGTTTTTATTCACATATGGGTCAACTATAAACGCTTTCACTGGATTTGGAGTATTCAACGAATTTCATAGCGCCTCATATCAACTGCAAAAACTTTGTTCCGTATACGTTGCGGAACTAGCAGTAGAGCAAATTGCCTCACTACCATCTGATCACTATTTTATCTTTACAGATAGGCTTAGCGCGTTGGAGGCTTTTCGATCAATGAGGCCGATGAAGCACTCCTCGTATTTCCTTACCGAAATCCGAGCTAAATTGAGTACTTTATCTAACTGCTCCTATACTATCACCTTAGTTTGGGTCCCATCTCATTGCTCAATTCCGGGTAATGAGAAAGCGGACTCGCTAGCTAAGGTGGGCGCTATGGAAGGCAATAGTTTTGATCGACAAATCGCCTTTGCGGAATTTTTTTCAATTACCCGTTAGCACGTCCTCACCAACTGGCAACAAAAACGGAATGAGAGTGATCTGGGAAGATGGTTACATTCTATTCACCCACAGGTATCGAACAAGCCATGGTTCAAAGGATTGGACATGAGCCGTGACTTTATACGTGTCATATCAAGGCTCATGTCCAATCACTACTCGTTAGGCTCGCATTTCTTCCGAATCGGGCTCGCAGACAGCAATTTGTGCGCTTGTGGTAGTGGCTATCACGATATCGACCACGTGCTTTGGTCATGCACCCTCCATTGTGTTGCTAGATCCGAGTTATCCGCATCCCTCAGGGCCCGAGGAAAACAACCTTTGCGGCCCGTTAGAGACATCTTGGTGAGCCGAGACTCGATTATTTTAATTTAATTTATGTGTTTTTAAAACGGATCGATCTGAGGATTTAGTAGTTAGTGTCATCTTGTGTTCTCTAAAGTTGCTAGGTCCCCATCGGTGTACCCCCATGTTCGTCTTTTCCTCCAGTATGTCGCTTAGTTCTAGATCAAGAGCACATTGCTCGAAAAAACCTTGTGTTCTCAATCCCTACCCTGCCATCCGTTTGTTACAATTTGTTACCCCTAACCTAGAGATAGCCGCGAGTAATCGGCCCCCGCTTTACTAACGTTAAGTTTAAGTAATTTTGTAACCCAAACGATGAATATCGGCTCCGCAAAGCTACGGCAAATAAGCCTGGAAAAATAAACGTATTTAAAAAAAAAAAACTGTGGAAGTGCATCAACACTAAGTTGAGAGCACGCAATAAGCTAATTTCTACAGTCACGGGCAACTAACAGTCACGGGCAGTACTCTTAACATATGGCGGTAGTGTGTAAATGTCAAACGCTGTACTACCAATTAAGAAAATCATAAATTTCCCGTTCAGTCCGCATCGTGATCTCTTGCCGTGCGGATCTATTTGCAACAAATTTAAACAGCACTTTTCAGTGCTCAATATTACCTGTAAAATTTCTACCTTTTTCTATTCTTATTCCTCTTCGATCCTTGTTTGGACCCTACCGGAAGTAATCCTGCTTGGATATCGATTTAGAAAATTCCTATTCGATCCTTCAGATTCTTACAGTAATCTGTTTGGAAGTCGATTTGGAGAAACTTGGTTCTGCTGCCATGGCGCCTACGCGCAAAATAAAAGGACAATCACTTGATCCCCCTTCTGATGAAATTCAATTGAGCAATCAATTTGATATGCTTACGCATAATGAGAATCATCCAAGAATAATTCTAGTAAATTTTCCCGGCCTAATGCCAAGAAGGAAAAGATTCCCCCTATTGTGACAACCACTTCCGGTTTCCACGCTCTTCGCACGGAACTTTTGAACTTCGTGAAATTCAAGTTTTCACTGAAAATTGGCCGTCGGGGTGAATGCCGTGTATTGGCTGAAACCTTGACGAATTCAAACGTCTTCTCAAGTATCTTACTGAAAAGCAGCACCTATTTTTTACATACGACACCAAAACTGAGCATGTCTTGAAAGGTCTGCCCAATGGTGAATCCCTGGAACAGATCAAAGATGAACTGGCAAAATTACTTGGAGTTGAGCCTGTCGAAGTAATCAAAATGAAAATGAAATCACGTCCTGGCGATTCGCGCAACGGGATTTCCAATGATTTTTATTTAGTTAGCAACATCGAAAACATCACCCCTGCTTCAAATTCTTCATCTATACCTTTTCCCCTCGCTGCTAACAATGTTCAGCGAGTAAAGGGGGCTACCTATGCTGCTATTGCAGCGGGGGTAGACATCAAAATTCTAGCCAAAATAATTCTAAAGGTATTTGAGAAAAGGCAGACGCACACTTTTTTGCCTGTAGATTTGAAGACAGCCAGGTAAGCGGAGTTTTCCAGCTGTTTCTCGAGTTTTCGTTAAGGTTTAGGTGTCATGTGGACCGACGCAAGTCGACCAGCTCC